GGTCATCACTGACACTGGCAGATGCTTCCTCCAATTCTAAGTCTTGTGATATGAGCTCTCAGACTAGATATTCAGCGTCAAGAGAGTATGTCCTCTTACAGTTTGAGTACACTTAAAGTAACATGTTTGGGAGCTGAGTACCTAAAATATTAGAGTTGCCTGGGTTTAAGATCTGACTTGAATGAGTGTCCTACATCACCTCAAGCCAACTTTGCCACCAGATAAGGTTAGGAATAATAGTATGTTTTGTATAGCAGCATACATCTTTGGTACCAGGCTGCAGAAATATAAAGTTACAAAATATATTTAGGTATATTTAATGCCTCCTGACCCCATCTTCCTTTGCTGCTTCAGTTTCTCAGTTGCCATTTGGTTCTCTTTTCTTAAACTGGAATCTCTTTCTATTGATCTAAGATCTTAATTTAAAATGCCTGTTGTACTTCCTCCCCTACACTCCTGCCCCTTTCTTAGAATAAGAACATAACACTCGTGTTAGGACAAGAAATACACTGAGAAGTAGGGGCTGGACTGAAATGCAGAAGACACTGAGAACACTGAAACGCTGAAGCTGGCCTTCTTTTGGGCTTACCCCTGCAATTAGAGACCTCTGTTTTTGAAAGCTGTGAGGTCTTTGCAGACCAAACAAATGGTAAGTCTTAGGTTGGCTTGGTTTTTTTACATTTTTACTGTATGCTTAGAAGGATGGGGTCTGATTTTACACCTATTGAAATAAATGGGTCATTTGGGAAACAGCTAGCTCTTCGTTTATTGTCATGTACATTCTGTATGTGCATAGCTACAAGGCAGTTACGCCCTTCTCTCTGTGTGGGAGGATGCCAAGGAAAAATGCTGCATTGAAGTACTCATCTGCAGTGTCAGACTGAACAGTCACAATTACATTTGGACTGAGTAGATATATGAGTAGTTCATTTTGAAGTTTAACTTATGATTGCACTTCAAAGAACCATATATTGGAGCAAGTTGCTACTTTAACACAGCAAGAATAGTAAGACTGAATAGATCCATTAGTGGAAGCAAATAAAAATCAGAACAATATGAAATGGGAGTACTGGGAAATACAATTAGATGTATCTGTTGAAGTTTCTGAAGATTACTGCCTGGGCTGCAGAGAAGTGGCTAAGTACATTGCACTACTTCCTTCTTCCAGCTGTTATTTAGAATGAAAAGGAGCTAAAATTAAATATTTCTTAGATAAACAATCCTGTCGTTAATCTGATTAATGATGATTTCCTCATGATTATAATTAGGAATGAAGGTCTTAAGATGGCCAATTAATATGAAATCTACTTTATTATGTGTGACCTAGAATCAAGAACTTTTTAAAATTTCTGGGAAATTATTTTGATTTTAGTTTTTAGTACAAGGCATACTTTGTTCCATAACTAAAGGCTTCCTGGGTGTCATTGTTATGGCAGAGATTACTTTGTGTTTTCATTGTTTTGGTTTATTTTTAAAAAAGGTAGTAAAAATGAACTTTTTCCAGGAGAGAAATCCAGGTGTTTCTTCTTCCCCCCTGCTCAATTATCCTATAGAGTATACATTAGCAAAAGAAGAAGCTGCATACCTACTCTCTTTAAAATGTAAAAGTGATCATTTACTAAATATAGAAACATATATCCTCACCTCAAAGGGGGCGTAACTTTCTTTAATGTGTTAATACAAGAAGTAAACCTGCTGTTAAAATTTGCTTTTGGTGGGAATGTGTCACTGAAGTTAGTGTATAGTTTTGTATAGCTATTGAATAGCTATTGAATTGTATTTAAAATGAAGGTCTTGACTAAACGGACCTTGCAAATAAAGATGATAAGTTTTTAAAAGGAATCTTTCCACTTGTGAAGTAGATGTAAACAATAGGCAGTATCAGAAAAAGAGACATCTTGGTTGTATTGTTCTTTCATTCATTTAGTGCTCAGTTACCATGGCGCTCTAGCAGGATAGCGTAGCTACAATGGGAATGGTGCTGGTGGTGTGATGCCATTGTTAAGGTGTTTCATGAGTTTCCAATACAAACAAATTACGTTGCCTGTTGTGATAGCTCTCTAGGATTTCCTTTGAATACCTAGGAGAGATGCTTCCATTTTAGAAGACCAGAAACGTTTAAGAAGGCTTCATAGGCTCTTGTGTTTTGTCCATAGCTGTTGCAGGAACTACATAGCTTGCTTTCAAGGCCAGCACTTTGCTAACATACCAGACTGGCAGCTTGTCAGTTCAAGCCGGTAATTTAAATCTTTGGTGCTAGTCAAAGCTGTCGACTTAATAACAGCTTACTGCATAAACAAGCTTGGAGGACGTATTCTAGGTCGTTAACATGGGAAGTTTCACATGCTGAATTGATGTTTATCACTGCACATTATTTGAAAAGCTAGGCTTGTTTGAAGGAAAAGTAGTCATTTGCTTAAACAACTCTGCTTTATGTGCACAGCCTTGATCACTCGAATGGGTAGTAGAAGTCACTTCAGAAATGGAGCAGTATTAAACAAGTTTTTAGTTTGTCTTTTTTAGTCAAACAGAGCAGAGGAAGCAGGTTGGTGTGGTAGGCATCTCAGTATGCCATAGTGGGAAAGATCTGCTTTGCAATGCCTTCTGTCACCACAGAGGTCGATAAAGCAGCACAGAAAGTAGTACTACTGAATGAGTAATGGTGCATATACAGTGATTTGGCCAGTATGCACCGGTACACTGGGGACACATACATATTAGTCATCTAAATGATTAGTAATACTACGTAGAAAATAATCAATACTTCACGTTTTTATGCCACTTTTTCCCC